TGTCTTCGATTTTTAATGATGGAGGAATAATTACTTATAACTATATCATAGAAAAGACATTTCTATCCGGTCTGAAGGTATTTAAGTATTTAACTGGTGCTAAAATCAATCAATTATTTTTACTTCAGATTCCTCACAGTCCTTGATCTTGACTTTGTGCCAAATACTTGTCCACGCATTCTAAAACTGCCACCGTTTGCAAAAACACTGCCAGTCAAGGGCTTGGTATCGATTTACAAAGGGTATCTGTCCTGCTCAGCTGCAGACTCGTATAGGCTAATTAGATAATTAATTAGGTTGTGATACGCATCATAGACAGTTACTTAGCTGTATGGGGCCATATTTCAATCCATAAATTCTGTCATGGGAAAGTACCTACCGGTGAGAGTTTTCTTATCTTTCGCATTGGCATAACACGTTCAAGAATAGCAGGTTCAATTTCGCTTATTACGCAATGTGAATATTTACTTTCAAGTTAGTCGAGTTCTTCTGAGAATTCATGTAAACTTTGCTTTCAGATACCCCGGTAGTAAAAAACAGCCACGGAAGTCAATTCTGGTAATCGCCGTGGTCATACACAATACAACCGAAGCGAGACAATTTCTTGCAAATACAGCAGGGAAAGATTTCGGAGTGGCCCCAGCAATATGATAAATTGGCTATATGTTGCTCAAACTCCGACCATCAAATGTGCATCGACTTTACGCAGACCGTTGTGCAAGCTGGAGCATAAATAATTGGATATCGTTTGCCAAGATATAACATTTATTGTTTGCTTGGTGATACTGCAGGGCAATCGTGGTTACCAGATTTTCCAGTATTTGATCTTTCCTGTGTGGTGCCCCAAGGGTAAAGTTTCCTCGTCAATACAGTACTCACGAAATCATTAAAATAGAATCTACCAACAAAATCAAATATCTGGGCTTATTTTTGGATTCGTATATGAAATGGATTTATCATATTGTTCATACTACCTAGAACTTGAGACGTATGTTATTCAAAATAAAATATCTAAGTAATTATCTGGATCAAAAGACGTGTTAATGCTAACTTTGGAAGACCATAAAATGAAATTCAATCTCCGGATTGTAATTTTACCCTAAACAATCCTGCTTTGTATATCTTTTTTTGTTGAACCGTCAGATGTTACATAGGTTCACAAAAATTTGAAGTCCTGGGTTTGTCTTATAATTACATTGTCCACCTGAAGATCAGCGGGCTTGTCTCCAATAACGAGATAATCTGTTTTAGTAACATTGCTGTTCAACCCCCATTCACAGTATCCATGGATAAGTTTTCTAGTCTTCATCATTTGCTATCAATACTTGGTCATCCGCAAAAAGTAATGTTTACAAGCAGGTATTTCCGATTTCAATCCCCATTCTATGGCACTTTTTCATACAGTTGCTCAAGGCTTTCTGTATATACAGGGTGACTTTAAAGTTGAGTCATTAATTTTCAGATAATGATTGTAGAAGATAAACCAAAATATGTGTGTAAAAATAAAAAAAAATAAAAAAAAATGTTACCTTGTTTTATAAAGTATCCTCCCGACAAGTATTTCAGTGCGGACCTGTATTTGATCGTGCGGTCTTGGAGCACCGGCATGCCCTCCCCTGTCTTAAGTCACCTGATTCACGAGCCCTTTGTACTACATTAACAAAGGCACGAGGGGTTGCTTACACTCGATGAGAATGAAATGAGAATCATGTCCACAAGTTCAGCATTTTCGTAAATATGTGCCATTTTTGATTTCGTTTGAGCCACGCAACAGACACCACTATTCACTCACGCGTTACCGACTGACACTGACTGTATACAACTGAATAAAATAATTGTAAAAACATCGTTCCAAATTCTTTCGCTTTTTTGTTTCCGATGCGATGAACCGATAATGCGGATTATATCCGTTGTTGCCAAACACGAGCACATAATATTATTATTGAGACAGGGCGGTACTCAAACTTCCAAAGGGCTATAACTTTGTTACTTTAATTTTACCAGAAAAATGGTAAAGAAAAAAAACATTTCTTTTGATCAGATCTACTCACTGTTAAAATAAATGACTCAACTTCGAAGTCACCCTGTATATTTTAAAAAGAGTTGGGGAAAGGCAGCACCCTCGTTTCAGACCCTTGGTAACTTTAAACGGTGCAGATATTCTGTTATTTAGTTTGATTACGCACTCTGTATTCCTATATAACGTTTTAATGGCTCTGATATAATACTCATTCATATTCATTTCATGTAAAACTTCGAACAATTTATTAATTGGCACGTTATCGTAGTCATTCTCTAAATCATTAAACATTAGATGTGTGCCTAAATAAGAATTATAAAATCAATTTTTAAAAATAATTCATACTAAAAAAGACATCCGCCAGAACAGCTGTATAGAGACGCAGAAACTCTAGACCGTCGGCAACTGTTTTTGTTCAGTTTATTGGTATATCAAACACAAACATACGTTAGTACCGTACAGTATACTTATTCGACTAGGAACAAAATTAATAAAATAAGCAGGACTATGCTAAGTTGAAGTCAATGTATAGCTATAAAAATGTATTGTCCAAGCAGACCAAGGTTAAGCTGTGTGACTCCCTTATCCTAAGTAAACTTGAATACGGGGACCTTGTCTATGGTCCATGTCTAATACAGAGCGAGGCATACAGACTTCAAAAAGTGCAAAACAGCTGCATAAGATTTAGTTTAGGTATTCAAAGGCGGGAGAGGGTATCTGATCATATTAAAAATATTCAATGGCTTACTATGCGACAAAGGTGGATACTGCATCTATTATCATTGGTCCACAGTATTATGATAAATAAAATGCCTCTTTATTTGAAGAACAAGCTCACCATGAGATGTGATCATCACTCAGCGAACCTGCGTTTTGTAGGATATACTCTTGACTTGCCTCGGTACTGAACAACCCAATTCAGAAAGAGCTTTTCATATGTGGCGCCCGATTTCTACAATAAAGTACCTCAAGCTTTGAAAACTTTATCTGTGTCCAGCTTTAAAAGAAAAGTTAGGCTCTTTGTCTTTGATGACATGTAGCATGTATTTTTTTTTGATTTCATCTAGCATGTATTTTTATGTAATTTTATTTTTATATTTGTTTATTTGTGCATGTTTTCTCACTCGTCACTTTTCATTTGTTTGTGTTTTGCTTACAAATTTGTTACTGTTTACTTTTAATTTTTATATCTTCCGCCATATACCAAATATTTTCTTTTTTTAAAGTTACTTCTAATCACGGTTTTTGATTCTGCTACGTACTCTGTTGCTGCACGTTTCTCTTTTGGTCTTTTGGTCATTATACCATGCTACGATTCTGTAAAAAAAAAATTTTTTTTCTGCTTTAAATGTTATCTTCAATGTATTTTTGTTGTATTAGCATGTACTTGAATTTTTTTTTTTTAGCCCTGGTTGGTTCTGAAAAACAGCTTGTGCTGATGTAACCCGCCAGGTAAAATAAAGGCCATTTATTATTATTATTATTATTATTACTTTGTCTACTAAAAAATAGGACAAAGGTGCTATACGTATCTCGCCTGTCGGTTATATGTATAACTGACTGACTGATGAAAAAAAAATGGCTTCGATACCAAAATTTTCGTTACTGTTTCCGTGTTTTTAATATCTTTAAAAAAAGTGTTAACGTCTGGTATATTTTAATAGCTTTTACTACTACTACTATAAATAATCAACATCATGTAACTGAAAATAGGCTAGCAGGGCAATGATAAGTTAAAAGTGTTCGACCTCAATGGGTATATTCCCCCACGCACATGCCTTTGTTTTTTGAGGTGTTGTACATGTTTATTGCGATATATGCTTCTTTCTTTTGCTCCTAAAATGCATTTTTTTCCAATAAACATCATTATTATCATTAATATTATACTTCGAAGTGTACCGCTAACTTAAAAGAGAATGTATGGTGTTGGATTTTCAATAGAAAATATTGCGTGAATTTCATGCGGGACATCCTGTGTATTATGGGCCCTGAAATGGATTCTTTTAGTAAGGACAAAACACGAATTTCTCTTAGCAAACAGTGGTGGTCAAGTCAAAGTAAGCCAATTTAAATGCCCCTTTTTCAATTTGGTTCAAATCTCTTGGTACGTTTGCCCGTACTGTACAAGTTTGTTAATAACTCTTTGGAAATACGAGTAATTTCTGCTTATATCAGTTCTTGGTTAAATTTGGTGTGCACTTATATGTAGATTTTCTTGCAACCTTAATGGAACCACCAACTGATTGACCTCATTGGCGACTTTTTGACTATTTACAACCTTTTTACTATAGTACAGAAAGTGCAAAAATATAGATTGTGTTGCGTTTATATTTGTTTGAGAAGTACAAAAGTTTTAAAAGTTTTAAATTATGTTGAAGCTAAGGAGTGTAAAATTGTTTTCATAATAATTTCAGCTACTTCTCTTTCAAAATTGCGAGCTGACGAAGTACTGTTTTTTTTTTGTATGCAAGACACCTTATAGCTCAGCAACTAATTATCAAATACTCATAGTATGTTATATCAATCTATTTCTTTCAAAATGGTTTATCGAAATATGAAGTAAAACCTGCATTCCATTAAAAAATTGCAACTTGCATATTTGGGTCAAAATTGGAACATAATGTATAATATCCAATATCTAGTTTTTCCTCAAAATATATTTATTTATTCATGAATAATATTCCGTCCTCACATGAGTGAGCCACCCTGTATGCTTCTTTTATTTCGTTAATATACATGTTACATGTAAGGGGGAAATTTAGGACCCGTATCTATACGAACTTTTTGTGTTATTTTTGAACGCACTTTCTACACTAAGAATATTTATGTTTTTTGAATCACGCTATATACCATATATTTGGTTTCATCAATTACAACATCCGTTTCATCCATATTTTCTTGCTCCTTAGTCTGCACCTATGGAATTAATATAAATTTTACATTATTTATCATATCGTATTTTCCTTAATAATATATCCAATCCTTTCGAATATGCGGTACTCTTGACAATCATAGCCAACTGCATCGTGCTGGCACTGGAAGAACATTTGCCTTTTCATGACAAAACTGTATTGGCACAAAAACTGGTAAGATTCTCGAACATCAAGATTCCATTTAGTTTAGGTTGCATTTCATTAAAAGTTATCAATATTGATCTACCATAAGAACAATACCACAGCCTAGTATTGTTTAAAACCTACATGTAGTGAAGGGTGCAATGATTCTTTTAGCACGACCTTAAGATACCTCTTCGAAGCGGAAACATTATTACAACAATAAGAGTCTTTTATATTTTTTCGAGGCAAGCTGCTTTACTCCATCTTCCCAAGATTATACCCTTAGCTCAATTATACTAAGTGACATATAAATCCGAAAACCCAGTTTAAATGGTTTTATTTTAATAAAATTTTGTATAAGTACTTAATGAAGCATAATAAGTAAATAATAAAAATTTCAAAGTCATTGCACTGCTTTAAAGCCCTTTGACCTTTAATAATGTGTGGATGCACTCTCCGCATTCTCCAACCCGCCTAGGCATGCTTCTGATCAGGTGGTCAATGTCCTCCTGTGGTATCTCATTCCAGGCAACCACCAACTCCTCTCGAAGTGCTTCTAGAGTCTGAGGAGGAAGTTGCAAATTGAGCAATCTCCTACCCATCATATCCCACACGTGCTCAATTGGGGATAAGTTGGGAGATCTTGGTGGCCATGGTAACAATGTGATATCATTATGTTGAAAGAAGTCTATTGTGACTCTTGCAACATGTGGTCGGGCATTATCTTGTTGCAAAGTTGGATCTGCCAGGGTGTCAAGATAGGGTAAAAGATGGGGTTCTAGAACTTCGTGGATATAACGCTGCGCGTTCGTGTTACCTCTGATGAAGATTAAAGGTGACCTGGAACCATAAGCTATACCACTCCAAACCATAACTCCAACAGTGTGATGAACATGTCTTTCAACAAAAAACTGTGGATTCCTCCTTTCACCACGTCACCTTATAACCCTGGTACGACCATCGTGCATGCCTAAACAAAATCGAGACTCGTCACTAAAGACAATACTGTTCCATTCCTGATCCCAGAGTGGCCGTTGTATGCACCACTCAAGCCGATTACGTCGGTGTTCTCGAGTTAAAGGGAGGACCCAGTGTGGCCGGTATGAAAACAAGCCAAAACTTCTCATTCGTCGGTAAACACTTCGCATGCCAATAGGTATTCCGTGTTCTACAAACCATTCATTTGCAATGGACCTGGTAGTGGAGAAACGGTCCCTTAAGGCCAATAATCTTAGGCGGCGATCTTCACGGTCTGTTGTTCTACGGCGGCGTCCAGTGCCCCTTGCTCTTTGCGTACGGCTTTCTCGAAGCCATGCCTGACAACACCAAACCACAGTGTCTACACTTCTTTGCACTTTAACTGCAATTGCCCGAAAAGAAAGTCCAGCTTCCCGAAGTCCCACTATACGGCCCCTATCAAACTCACTAAGTTGACGAAATCGTACAGGTCTCCGTACTCTAGGCATCGTAACCGATCGTAAAGGATGTCAAGAACCAAAATCCGCCAACGTTCATTCTTTACTGCGGCTGAAATTTTCGGAATGTCCAACTGATAAGGCTGAAGATTTTTTCACTTGTTATTTACAGTAAGATAAATACATTCACCAACTTTTATTAAAATAAATCCATTTAAACTGGGTGTTCGGATTTATATGTCACTTAGTATATATTGTTTCTATGAAAAAATGTATAGTTGAACCCTCTGGATGAATAACGTTTTTTTTTGTCTTGCAGGAGAGAACAGAAGTTTATTTTCTTGGGATATTTTGCGTCGAAGCATCTTTAAAAATCTTAGCGTTAGGTTTTGTTTTGCATCGCGGCTCTTATTTAAGGAACATCTGGAACATCATGGATTTTTTCGTCGTACTTACTGGGTAAGCATCCTATTCATTATTTCTTTTGTTATGGTTTTAATGAACATTTTTATAAGGTATGTAATTTTGCAGGACGTTAATAAGCTCAATGTAATTATAATAGATGAAGATGCAAAAAGGTTGTTAGCTATTATTTACTGTGCGTTTATTAGCCATTGTCTGACAGAACGATCTGTCAGATATTCGCTTCTTGATCAAGTTTATGGATCAGTAGATAAATTAGGATTTTCTGACAGACAATTTCAGGGGAGAATAAATAATAAATTACAGGAGGAGGGCAAAAAGCGTCAGTTTTTGGATGAAATTATTAATTTATGATCTGATATTTTGGACATTCAAAAAAGCTTTAGGAAAATATAAGGATCCAAAATGGGAACTTATACGTGCCCAGGCTGGTGCCACACACTTTCAAATGCCCCAGGATGTTCTAATAGATACTTTAGGATTGAGAATGATTAGCCTGATTGTTATTGAAACTAACTTAGCCAACAAAGGATTAACGGAACAATAATTGTGCAGTATTATGGAAGCTACCTCCCTTGGTGGGATGTATATGGGAATATCAGCTTCAATCAGTTGGTGTGTGGTTACAGAAAATATGGTTAAGGAAGTTAAATGCTATGAGCAATTCTGAACAAACGTATTTAATTCACTGTTTAGCAGTGGTCACAGACAGATACTGTCAGGAAATATCTTGAAGGAATAAGGTGAACATAATTATTTAAAAAATAAATCAATACATTCTTTTTTCTGAGCTTCCCAAAAACCAATTATATCCTGCCAATTTAGAGGAATTCTCGTAGTCCAGTAAATTAGGTAGTACCCGCGTTAGCGACAAAGGTTGCCGTTGTGTAATCTGATTTGACTTGAAAATTGAAATCAGATTGATATTAAATATTGATCACCTAACATGCTTTCAATATAAATGTGTATTATAAAATCTGTGAAATCAAATTAGATGTGATTGGAGCCCGCAAGCTCCGCTGTTTAGGTATTCGTCTAACGCTTTCACCAAGTTACTAGGATCCTTTCGTAAATAATTTGGACTAGATGATGTCTGATTTTTTCACATAATGCCAAACTCGTCTCAGCGAGATACCTAGTTCTAGTGTTAAAATACAAAGTAACCTTTTTGAACTACTGAAGGAAAACTTGACAAGTTCACGGCTGTGTGCTACTTTCTTGATTTCGTCAATAATCAGATGTATATTGTTATTTTGGAATCTTTGAGTAATATCGATGTTGGAGCTTTTGGAATAACCTCATATTTGACATCCGTAGAGCCACACTGGTTTTAAGATCTGATGATTGATCCTGACTTTTTTATTGCTGTGGTTGAGGATCTTTCCATTATCCAATGATATCCCTTATAGCGGAGGTTCCGTTCTTCCCTATTGTTTTTGAAATTATGCTTCCTCTTGAGTCTGGTGTCAAGGGTCACACCTAAACATTTTTCGTTTAACTACAATGGTATGATGATGCCATTAAAGATTATTTAAGAAGGACTTGTCAATCTGAGCGGTTACAAGTTGTAAAAATTGAAAGTAAAATATCAAGTAATGTTTCTGTTGATCATGGAGTACCTCAAGGCAGCGTACTAGGCCCATTACTGTTTTTATTCTATATGTCGATGATATGTCCAATGTTCTTAACAATTCGTTTACAAATTTGTTTGCGGATGTAACATTAATTTCAGTTAGTGGTTCAGAAAGTAACGAAATTTTAGATGTAATGAATAGTGAAATGAGCAAGCTTACTTTATGGTAAAAAATAAATAAGATTAAATTAAATGTGAGAAAAATGAAATATATGATCAGAGGTTCGAAGAATAATTGCAAGAAATTGGTAGATTTAAATATGCCAGTGAAAATTGAGGGAGAGGTACTTGATTTTGTAGATAGTTTTAAGTATTTAGGTATTATAATAGATCAACAAACATGTTGACTATACGTCTCGGAAATTAGGCAAAAAGATCGGGTATTTTCGTAGAATAGAGCTGCACAAGCTTAATGAAAGCAGATGTTTCCACCGGTAATTATTATTATTATGTTGATATAACGCTATCACTTGTATATTTAGCAATATTTTTTCAAAGCTCAAGTTTTTGCAGATAATTGTTGAGATTTCAAGTCTTGGTACTTTTTATATAGTTTGCATAGAGCTGCACAAGCTTAATGAAAGCAGATGTTTCCACCGGTAATTATTATTATTATGTTGATATAACGCTGTCACTTTGGTGGGCATTGGTAGACAAAGGAGTCAAAAGTATATTAAAGCTACGCATTTTGGTGACAAACAATGCAGTCTATACATATGGATTGATGGTATTTTCCAACATGTCCAAATAAATGTCTCCATTCAAATTTCCATTAATAAACAATGGCCCAATCACTTTGTTTCCTAAAAGGATTGCCCATTCATTAATTTTTTGGGGATACATATAAAATCATGAGGATTTCCATTGCCCCAATACCTGCAGTTACGCTTATTAACAAACCGATTTAGATAAATTGTTCATTCATTACTGAAGCAGATATTCTTGACATGAATGGTATTATTATTAATCGCTGTAGTCAGTCAGTTCACAAAACTCAACTCGCCTATTGAAATCATCTCCGGTTAACTCTCCCAATGTTTTAATTTTGAATGAATGAAACGTACTGAGTTTAGCAACTGTGAATGAAATACAGTCGCAGCAAAAATTTTGCGTAATGAATTATTATTATTTATTCCAAAATGACCCAAAACTCCAGCATGAGCGGCCTCATCCAAAACTCTAGGATGATCATGTTTTTTATTTGCAACAGATCCAGTTTGAGCAAATTTAGTAACAAGGTCCAAAACATACCTATGCTTCCCTTACCTTCCCCGGATGTCTGGCGTTAAACGTGGCTGCAAATCTGAATCAATAATTTAATTTTCACTATCCCTAGATTGTCACAAAGGTAACTGACAGCAAATTAAATTCTTTCTTTTCCTTAGTAACAAATAACTAAACAGGTATAACAATGAAGACAGTTCGCCCAGCATATCTGTGTTGATGAAAATAATGCGAAAAAACAACGTATTGTTATTTGGTTGTTGCCACGTGTAATCTTCCGAATTGTTGCTTATGTTGGTAGTTTCCGTTTTAAATTATAAACGAATTGTAGATTTGGCAAACTCTAACGGGCAAACAAAGGACTCCGAAAGACCTTTCAGACAACCTGTTACTCGATACCCCTTGTCATTTAAAATGTTTAAGGGGATGACCCTGGGGGGCAGAGGGTCAAAGAGGCTGAAGTAGATTTTGGTTAAAAGTTTCCCCCTTGACAAATCTTTGGAAGTGTCTCGGCGTTTTTTCTTTTAATCAATGGTTTTCAATAAATCCGTGGTGGGAAGTTTTCAAATCAACATGCTGTATAGGTTTAGCACCTTCCAATCTGTTGAAATTCGTTGGCTTAATCCCATTTTCCAAATCTATGTCTATAGGTAAATAATGATAAGAAAATACTTTTACATAAATGATAATGTCATTTAAAATTTATCATGCTAGCTTCGATATGTCACTTTGACATCTAAACTTTATATTCTGGGATAGTTAAAAACAATTAATACAGGTATCTTCTGTCACATAGCTATTTCAATAACAAGGAAAATACTAGCATCTTACTCTTTACTCTGAAACTGAAATGGACCCGCCCTCAGGTGAAATCTGCTTCACATTGAGTATTAAGTTTGTCAGTTTGACTCCAGACGACTAGATGTTTCAATGTGTTTGTAAAATCAGTATTAAACGTCATGATCGCTAATGTTCCTATACTTCAAGGTAAATGACACTATAAAATAAAAATATTCAAATCTTATAAACATAAATCAACTGATATGATGTGATAATAAGAAAATAATTTCATACATATCTCGCTTGAGAAGGTCATTATTGATCTAACATTTTGTCAATCGGCTTACTTCTCAATCTAGGTATTGATGTACTTTACGTAACCATCAATCATACTTTTCTTGTCAGGCTAAAACAATTGCGACTAAGGCTTTTATCCGTTTTTATTTTGTCAACATAGGGAAAAGTTTAACCTTTTTGCATATTCATCATCCCAGACAGGATAAAGCAATTCATTTGAGCTCCTGCAAAATTCGCACCACATTCGTCTACCACTTACTTTGCAGGCAACCAATGGCAGTGCAGATATGCCGTAACATATTTTTTCTTTGTATTTTTTCGCAAATATTTGTGGTGTCAGGTCGATGACAGTGTTTGCGGAGGCTAACGTCGACGTAGACCTGAGGATGCTGAGGTCCTTTAGGGTTTTGCGGCCGCTGAAGCTGGTCTCCAGGATCCCAAGTAAGGGCCCCCGACAGTAACAATGAAACGATAAGAACGAAAGCCATACGACTCAGTTGCTTACTTTTGGGATACTGTAAACAGTCAGATAAAAAAGGCATTTTTACAACATTTAATCTCAGGTTCTGAATTATGACAATTAATGAAGAATCGGAAAAGCACTGAGCATCAAAGTGAGTGCCCACTACTATGTAAGTTCCTCCTGACTTCCCTCTTTGGGCTACGAATTTCAGGGTCATTAATTTCTGACTCTCTGCTAGTGTCGCGCTCCTGTAATTGCAGATCTGCAAAGATAACTCGCGCAAAATCACCTTTCTTGAATATATATTGTCCATGAAAGTACACAATTGTATGGTAACCCAACCAATATCTCGCGTATGTCAGGCACACTTTTTACCTCCTTTACGAAACTCATCCTCACCACTGATCATCCTCCTTAGGGCATTTTGGATAGATTGAATGTCAGACGTAATGCATTGAAACAACTATCAAAAGGCGAAAAGCCGTTTTTTTGCCTTCCTGTTGCACCTGAAACATACACTGCAATCAATAAAGGTATCAAACTCAAATGAGTAGTAGGAGAAGCCCAAGCAAAGTGGTTACCTCAAGTTTTCTGTTATCATTACATAAATACTAATTGATAAGGAATTAAGGAGATAAT